AGCCGCGGCAGCGACCAACAGCCACCATACCACTTCCGGCTCGCAGTATGACCCGGCCGCGAGCGCGTACAACATGTACCAGCACCTGCAGTATCCCACCACCACCCACCATCACCATCATCATCATCACGGCGCCACCTCGGCGTCGTCGTCTACTGCCGCGTCGTCCCACAATCCGCACAACGGCAGCGCGGTCGCCGGTATTTTCGGTCATCACGGTGCCGCTGCCGGTAACGCGACCGGCGGCCTAACCGGCGTCGCCGGCGGCGCCGACTCAAAACTGCTAGTCGGTCACGCGCACGGAAACACGCCGGGCTCGCCCTCCGCGCAGCAGCAGCAGCAGCAAAAGCCGAGGAACAAGTCGAGGACGTCCGCCGGTAAGCGACACGCGCCTGTCACGGTTCTTTTTGTTGTTTCTTTGGGTTCTTTTTTTATAGATTCTGCCTTTGGTTTCCTTCATTTCGAAGTTTATCTTTGATTTTGTATGTTTTCGGTTGATTTTGAATTGCGTTTTCACGCAGGAAACAAATCAAACAGTCCTTTTTACGGGCCTCGATGTTTTAATTATTCTGAAAATTCAAAGTATGTTTATACTTCCGTAAAAAGAGCCATTTTCTATTTCAACAATTTCCTCGTGAAAATAAGATTTTGTTTTCTTTGGTTATTTGCGCCTTTAGTTTATTTCATTGCTTTTGGCATCTTCAGTTTTGCTTCTTTGCACCGGCGTCGAATTGTTGAAGCTGGGAAGGGAGGGTATTAATAATACTATATTATGTAATGACATTGCATTAGATTATTGAAATGACATGCATTCGATTATTTTTCTTATTCTACTTGGAGCACAGTTTTTGATATAACTCATAGTAGCTTTTATGAAAGTTTTTTTATACAACTCAACATAATCGACGCCAATGTGTTTCATTTCGTTTTATGAAATTACTTCTCTCTTGTTACGTTTCACTAAGTTTTTCTTATTATGTTTTACTTCGTTTTTTAATATTCTTTATCACATTTGACTAATTGTTTNTTTNTTTTTTTTNTTTTTTTTTTGTTTTTTTTTTTTTTGTTTTAATTTTAACCGTGAGCTTTCGGTGGCGGTCGTCTTACGCTTAAAGTTCGTTCAGAACACGTTTTTTCCACCGTTTCTCTCGTTTTTTTGAACGAGCTGTGTCACAATAGAGAGGGAGGCACTGACTGTGGTTTTTTGTATTTTGCCTCACTGATGTGTTTTTTGCGTGGCACCCACTCGAGAGAGCGAGCGTGAAGCACCACACCCGATTTCCGTGACGATACATTATCTATCTATCTATATATATATGTGTCCCTGTTTCTATATAAATACACGTTCACTCTCCTTCAAAGACACTTTACACACAGACACACAGTGCAAAAACAAGAGAAAAGCACAGATATTTTTTTTCGATGTGGTGTGGCAAGCGCAGCGTTTTTTGTTTTTGTCACGGCAAAGCTCCCTCTCAAAGAGTCCACGGACCATTTTTCTCGGCGGCGTCCCGCAATTTTTCGTGCGCACGCACATACACACATACACACACACACACACGTGTGAGACGAGTCGGGATTTTATTGCGAATCCACCAGGTTACCGATCCTAATTGTCGCGCTCGTAATAATATCCGATCCGCGAAGTACGCGCGGTACTTGGTTCTCGTGCGTTCGATGAACTTTTGCCGAGACAATTTGCGCGCGTTTCTCTGGGGGTAGCGTCCGCGATGTCGTCGTCGTCGTCGAAGTAAACGAAGTCGAAGGGAGGAAAGAGGTCGCCGCGAGGGCGAAGAACGAGAAACGGTTGAAAAATGCCGGATACGCTGATTGCGGTAATAATAGCCGGTCGGCTCTCCGACGGCAAGCAGCGACGGCGTGGTAAAAATCCCAATTCCGGGAACAATGGCCTCCGGCTTCGCGCTATGGAAGCCCGCTAATTGAATCGACTTACGACATACGCCAGCCGGAGTAGTCGCCCGATGACGATGACGACGACGACGACGACGACGACGACGAACAAGAAGCCAGACGGTGGCGGCACTCGCGGCGCTTATTTAGCGACACTTGTCTATTTTACCGCGATTTATCGAGAAAATCCCTCGCGACAAGGCCACGAAAACTGGCTCTTACGAACAGAAAGCAAGTCGTTGATTGAGCAACATCTCGTGAAAAGCGAACGTTAGACACTCGATTGGCAAATATCCTTCGCGCTGGGAACAGAACGAACGTCAGGGGTAGAAATTGTGTTCTTCGCGAATGAAACGAGTTACGCAGTCGTTCAGGGAAAGATAATAATTGTACACTGTGTAACGAGATAGAAGAAACTGCGACTAACACACAAGCAAATAAATTGCTATCTGATCTGTGAGCAAAAATAAAAATTAATACAATATATCATCGATACGTTACGTTAATTAGACGCCACAGACGTTCTCATTCGGTTTTATATTTTCGGGAACATTGAAAGTGTTGTTACAGCGAGATTTCGTCGTATCGAGAAATTTAAGGAGAGAACGTTCGCGCGCGGATGACGAACCAGTTAATTAAGAAACATTACGGACCGAACCAGAAAGTCATCGAGAGGGAAACACAAAGCAGAAGCCACTAACGGACAGTCCCGTTAGCGGGTTCGAAATACTCGTGGAGCTACGGGCGTGCAATTAGTGGAGTAGAAGAGAGGAAAAGAGCGGTGGAGAAGAGAGGGAGAGAAAAGGAGAAAGAGAAATAGCTATGGGCCAGCGCGAAATTCGTGACGGAACGCCGGTTCCCTCGTACTGAATCATAACTCGGCCGTTGATGACAGAAGTGGCACGGGGGACACAAGCGGCGGCTTCCTTCCTTCTTCACCACGAGCTTCTTTACGCTCCAACGACCACCGCTCCGGCCCTAAATACTCTCCGGCCCGTTGTTTCTGCGATCAACAATGGAAACACCGGCAATAATAAGCGCTCCGTAAAACGGGACAAGTGTGACATAACGTTTCCCAAACTTGTCACCTTGTTTTATCAGCACCGAAACACTCGACACACAAAATGCAACGACCATGTTATAGACTTTGTTGGAAAGTTCGGAAATGCCTGAAACATTTCCTCAGAACATTTTTTTTTCTCGAACTTTTTGCGAATATAACATAGTTTTTTTTTTCTATTCGAATAAATTCGAGCGTTCCTACTTCGGATAAGATAATCGTTCGAATAATATGTTCGGGAAATTTTGCAACACGTTGTATCTGCTCGTTCCATCAGCTACATATATTTCGCGCCACACAATTCGGGAAGCTTCGAGGAAGTCGAAACGGAAGCAAACGTCTAACGAGCGCTTTGTTGCATGTTAAGGTCGAAGGTGACGCCGAAAATGGGAGCGATATCGGACCCCTTTGGAAGAAGGTGGAGAGGGGAGGGTAAATCCGGTCATTTTAGCGTCACCTTCTGACACGAGAACTATATTTCGAAGTACAACGCAAACGAGCGTCACCTCGACGTGTTTCGTGGCTGATACCTATCGTCGGTGTCAGAAACTGTCCGCCCGTTCCATCGCTGTACGAACGGATCGATAGGCAGAAAGGCATCGGTACAAGGAAATACGGACGCAGCTGGAAATTATTATCACCGACTATCCTTTCCGAGAATCGACGAGCGATTATCATTTTATACCGGAAAAATCGCGATAAGAAATAAAGTCGACGAAGAATATAGTTTCTACGAATAGATGTAGATGAAACGCACAATTTGTTGTCGCTTGCGCGCGAAATAAAAGATATCAGTTAGGAAATATAAATGTGGTATATATCAGCGAGAGAATCGGGAGTGAATCGGCAATTACCGTCGAAATTAAATCAGAAAAACAACGAAAAGGGGATCGAGATTGATCGTATTTATGCCGTTCTATTATCGTCAACGTGAGGGATGAGAGGGATACGGAGCGTAGCGATTGGCGATCAATGGTGTGTGGGTGCTTCTTGTTATCAACCCCCCGAATCTGCCGTAAGATCCAAATCGAATTAAAGCGCCGCAGAGACTCGGTTGGGTCCTTTTCCCAATTAGTTCGGCGATCGATTCGTGGGTTCGCCGAAATAACAGCAATTAGGCGGTAAACCTGGTTAAATTCGGTTAACGTCAGGATCATCTCGGATTTCGTTCGCACACTTCGCGTCGTCTTTGCCGAGAAATTTCTTTCGAACGAGAACAGGATTTCGATTGCGATTATTGCGTTATGAATTCATCTGTATCAACGAGCTCGCAAACGAGCCGCTCGCGTGTCGACAATTACACGCGACGACCTACGTGTGCTAGAAATTATTTCGCCGCCGTCGAATTTCACGTTAAATCGAGGTCGGGTTATATTTAATCATTAATCGGCGACGCGCATTCAATCGATATCGCGATTGCTGATACGATCGCTCGTCCTTTTAACATTGTTTCTCGCACGCTATCCTGTTCAAAAACCGCATAAATGTATTTATATATATATATATAAGTTTGTTTTATTTTATGGAGAAAGACACGGATGCAAGCACAAAACAGAGAATTGATTACTCGAAAGACCTACTAATCGTAGTAGTAGGTAGTCAAAGAAAGGGAGGGGAAACAGCGTTTTTTTTACGAGCGTCGTTAAGATTCACCACTGAACGCGAGAACGATTTACTTTCGTATATCGAATCGCCCTCGACCGTACAATGATCGTACAATCCACTGCGCAATTCGCAAGTTTAATAGCACTCCTTTTCAGTAGCGGCCGATAAACTCGGCCGATATCTCCGCGGAGGACGCAGCTCGGAGGACGATTCGAGAAATGCGCATTTCGGAAAGAAATCCCAATCCTCGCTGTCCAATCGTCTTTCCTTTTCCCACGATATACGTCGCGAAGACGTCCAAGTGTGTTTTCTTTTGCGAGAAAAAATACAGCGTGTGTTTTTATCGCGAGAAATTAAAAAAAAAATTTATTTAAAAATACGTGAAAAGTACATTTGGATATCTTTAAGACGACTCCTTCGGTTTTTCTCTCCGCTCGTGAATCGGAAGAGACGAATCCCTGGTTCCTCTTTCCCCGTTACATATCCGCTTCTTTCTCTCTCTCACAGTGTATACTCGGGGACTAATCAACCGCACTAACGTAAGTTCGAAAATCCGTGAATCCTATACAAAAAAAAAAAAAAAAAAAAAAAATAAACAAAAACTGTCCATGGTCTTGAAGAGACTCTGCTTTTGCTCTGGTAATCGCTTGATATTGGTATGTCTATGCAACTGCATGCGCGAGTTGTCTCTCACGAGTCACCTTGATTGATTGTTTGCAAAATCTTTGTGTTGAGCGCACGTTGATTCTCATCGAAAAAAAAAGTCAAAGAGTGTGAAAATAAATTTTCTTGCTCTTACTACTAATGACCCTCGGGTCATGTTGACCTCAAGTTGAAGCAACCTTAAAAATACAAATAAAAAAAAAAAATTTCTTGTTTGCATCGAAATTGCGTTTAAAAATTTTTCGTATATTTTATATTCCATTCAAGCGCGGATCAACGTGCGCTTTTGCCAGTTTGCGCGTGAATTTTCGAGATCAAGTTTTCAAAGAGAATGATTTACTCACAGCTTTGTGTTCTCTTGTCTCATCGATGGAGAAGACACTTTGACAATTGGATCTCGCATTCGCGCGCGAACACGAGTATGAAGATAATATTTTGTACGTTACAATAGAATGGACGTGCGCGCGAAATTTAACACGATTTTTGTCCCGTCGGGATGGAAAATCCCGGTAGAAGGTCGCGAGTGCGTGAATTGCGGCGCTACTTCGACACCTCTCTGGAGACGGGACGGCACCGGCCACTATCTGTGCAACGCCTGTGGACTTTATTACAAAATGAACGGCCAGAATCGACCTCTCATCAAGCCGAAACGACGCCTTGTAAGTACCTAAGCTGCGTTACATTCTTCGAGCAAAATATGAGTAAAACAAGTGCGTGTCGCACGATTGCTAATTAATTAAATTTATAAATTGTATTTAAAAATCGATAGGCGCAATTATATAAAAAATATATAAACAATAATTTCCAAATGAAACTATTTTCTTCCTCTTATGTCCGCGAAAATGCTTAAATTTTGCTCTGAAGTTTTCTTTTACGTTCTTACATATAAGATATTATAAACGTCTATTATAAACGTCTAACCTCNGAAATGTTACACATTAAAAAACAGGAGAACGGTCTGAATTTGATGAGAGACACTGAATCTTTGCATAACACATACATTCCCATACTCGACAAAGTACAAATTTAATATACAGAGGGGGTAGTGTTACTCTTTGAATTTGATCGTTTGTTTTTGACTCAGTATCGTTTTTATTGTTGATCAAGTATGTCTTGTTGAAGATACTCAATTTATATTTATTTGATATTATTTATTGTGAAATTAATCTAAGGTATGCAAATTGTTTATATGTATAATTACATCTATGTATTTTAAATTATTTACTGATTGTGTTCATAATTATTGCAACAGATTCAATTGATAAGGACTTAAATTATAGTCGAAACGTTTTGAAACATATCTGAGCACATTATTTAAATGCACAACATCCTGCACTGGCTCTATATAGCCTTTGAATTCTAATATTTTATAAAATTTCTGTTTTTTATTTTATTAAATTTATTGAAAGTACATTAAGTATAGAGAGTACATTAATGTATAATGATAATTATACATTAAGTATAAAGTATTTATACAATATTAATAATCATATATATATATAAAACAAATTTAAATGATTTCACAATACTAAATCAGTTAAAAACTATAAAACATAATTAGTAATCTAATCTTTAATAAAAAAAACAATGACAGGTACTGAAAAAGTTATAACGACGCATAACGATCACTCCGATTATTTCTTCGCGCATGCTCACCGTGTGACAACTTATCCCGTCTCAATTTGAGTCAACTTATACCAAACGTTCATTTTAAATAAAAGATATTATATTTATAAACTGCGATGCGATGACGATTAAATAAATATAGAAAAACTTATTTAAAACTACCATATTTCCTATACATAAGATAAAATTGCAATTAAAAATTTTAAAACCGATGAAATTACTAAAGAATCGAGATCAGAAAAATCTACTTGCCATATCCAGTTTTACAAAAGTGCTCGTAAATATCATATATAATGTTTTTAAGAAAAGTTCTTTCGTACACGTTACTAATACAACTAGTAGCAACTTACAATAAAAAGAAGAATGTTTTCCAAGATTTAGTAAGCAAGATAATAGCAGTTTGACACCTAACCCCGTGTCACAACTAGCCCCGGTCTCCCCTACGTTACTTGTTGCGCGAACTTTACATATTGGCATCACGTCAATCTCAACAAACAAAAACATATTCACATCTGTGTGTAGCTCGGCGTATTATTTGTAAAAGTGCGTCCTTGATCGCTTCCTTCGTGCCAGCGAAGTGCACATACTTAATTAGCACGTGCATAGCGGAGAGAACGAAGTTACGCGTTTCTCGCGGTGTATAGATGTTAGTAATCAGAATGCAAGATAAAACAAGGCCAAGTTAATTTCCTGTACCCGCTGATTAATACACACACCGCTCCGCTCTTCTCCGCTGTGATTAGCAACTTCGTACCCGCAATCCGCCCAATGAAATGGCGGGTCGAATAATTTTCGCGCGCGAAAGATTCCTCGATGCCGAAGAATGCACAGGCGTATCTTCCGTTATAACAACAAAAAACGTGTCCGATGGAATATTGTTGGCGCGCGTTGATGGAAGACGATTCGCGATTTAATCAATTCGTATTCCGTCGCGCGCGATATTTTTCGCGCGGACGTAATATTCGCGTATCTGCGCGCGTATATATATATATATATACGGGGATAATCTTTATCGCGAGAAATAATTGGATCTCTACGAGTGTGAAAAAGGACGTAAATAAAACTTCCGAGACGCATTAAAAAAAAACGGGCTCGCTCGCGAAAAACGATCGTCGCGATAGAATTGAAGATACTGTCGTATAAAATGCGGATGTGTATTTTTTAACGCGAAAAAAAAGCGGAATTTAAAACTAATTTCTATTGCCGCGCTATGAATCAAACGAGATGAGACGCGCGCATCGATAGATCGCAGACATAATTTTTTTCCGCATTTTAGAGAGATCGGATTTGATGTTTGCGTGTGTTTTTCTTGCAGACGTGTTTTCAACGGTTTTTAGAACGCGGTTGTGTATATAAGTAAAATTTCGTGGTAAACTATGTGCGCGCATATCGGGACGCCGCGCTATTCGATCGATATCAACCAACGGTAGCCGGAGGTTTCGTGCGATCGGCTCGTAGAATTCGTGTGAACTCGATCTATTTTTGGCGACTTGGCTGGCACCTATATAGATGGAGCAGCCTCGTCCGAAGTACCGATGCGGAAACTCGATACCACCGGCCCGGCCCTGCGCTTCCTCCTCCGTCGTTCGGACTCTCGTCCTAACTGCGATTCGATCTGACTAAACACTCACGTGAATTCGCGGAATCGATCACGAAAGCGGCCGAAACGTCTGCTTTTACGGTTTAGACTTTCCGTCTCTAATCACACGTGCAGAAATCGAATCCTCTTTTTTTTTATTTTTTTATTTTTTCTATTAACTGTACATAATGTATTGTAGAAGCGGACGTAGAAGAAGAAGAAGAGTTTGTAGAAAACCGAGACACTCTTATACATTGATGCTGTTTTAAACACTTGATCTTTATTATACGTGGCACGCGCGAACCTTTCTCTGCCGAACCCCGAAATCCGCTTTGCTGTTTCGATCTGTAGCGCTCGGTCTTAAATTCGACGTGTTTGTCTGCTTGAAAATCAGCTGTCCGCGTTTATCGGCCAGTTTCGCCGGTTGTTGTTTGAACGTGAAAAATAAAAACCGAAAACAACAATTAACACAACTCGAACGTGTAGCTACGTGAAGAAATCGCCTTTCAAGAAAATTCGAGGAATGCAAAATTTATATAGTGACCGCGTATTTTTTAATATTTCATATCTACAATTTTATTAGAAACTTATTTCAATGAGAGTGTAAAAAAAAGTTAATTTTGCAAGCGAACAAAGTCGAAAGTATCGGGACGATTAGCTACGCAGTCGGCATGAAAAAAAAAAAAAAGAAAAAGATTTGTTTCGGATTATAATCGTACATGTATCATCGGGTGAGTGCACCCGTCGCACTTTCACGGACACCAACCCCTCCCCTCCTCTGCGAATCCGCTTCTCAGACGTCGGAGAGCTCACGAAGCAGCTCGTCCGGGTAGCGCGTCATCGAGAGCGCGCGGGATGTTAACGAATTAATGCGCGGCGCGCATTAAAGCAATACCAAGATACACGCGGCCGCATTGACGTTTCACTATCCCTCTCGTTGCTGCACTTTCTCCCCGGTGCGCGATAGAGCAAGGCTGATGGATGCAAAAAGTTTTTCACCGGCCGGCGCCTGCCCGGGTGATAATTATATGTGCGGCCGCACGCCATGCCTTCGCTAATTGACGAAGTTCTACAAACAATATCGCCGACTCGCATCACCGTATAATTTCTCGCGGTTCTTCTTTCTTGCCTGCGCGCTTAACGCGTTTACGCTCGCGATCTCATGAAAATGCGATGCACCGGTGCTGCTGCGATTTCGCTTGATCCGACAATCGCACGAACATTCTGTACGTAAGACGATGTACGAATAGACGTTATTTAACCGTTAATATTTGTATATTGAATAGTTTTTTTTCTGTGGAATTGAAAATATGCAAAAGATTAGAAAATTGATTGTTTAAATCGTTCACATTACGTTATAAAAGAAATACAACAAATTAATTTGTTCTTTTGATTGAACATATAATGTTCAAAAAAAAACCCACCAAGCTATAATATTTCTTAGGTTAACTTGCGTGAAAATTCACACATCAACTGGTAAATATAAAATATCGCAAGTAATACAAGAGATGTGTTGACAATTAGAAAAATTATAATTGTCGTCGAATTTAATGATTGGTTGTCGCCGATTAGACGAAGACTGCAATCGGTTCCGCGGGTTCGCCGGGACGATGCGCACGGGTGCAAATATTGTGACGTGATGATGAACCGACACGCCCACTCGTCATTCATTTGCGTGCGGCGTGTCTGTGTACGTGCGTGCGTTGCGTGCGCGCGTATAAAAGCGCCTCGACAGGTCGATAAAATATGTATATCGATTTAAAGCGATGGGCGTACGCACGTGTTCGCGACACTTCCGAATGGTGAATTCCGTAATTTTCCTGTCGCGAGCGTCGGACACTGTTTTTTCCTCGGACGCCGCTTACTTGTCCCTGTTTACTTCCGGATTAAAAATTCATGCAACCACTCGGCCGAAATACATCCCCGATTGCCGCTCATTCCGGCGATACATGACAGCCGATCGTGAGCGATCGATCGACCTCGTTCGGTGTAAACGTTGCGGTCTGGAAACGGAACATCCCGCGCGTGAGAAAAACGTAAGAATAGCTCGTTTGTCGTTCAACGATAGAGGAAGGAAACTCGTATCCACAGTGGAAATTAGTTCTTTCAGGCGAGAAAGAACCGAAATATTTTATTAAAACAAAATTGAAGACATAACACAATGTTGTCCGAAGTATCGAATTTCAGAAACGGGAGAATAGACGCGCAAAAAAAAATTGTCTGCGACACACTGTCACGTTTTTCAACGTGTCTCGTTCGGTTAAAATCCAGTCACAGATGTGTCATCGAAAAGCGACGCGCAGATACGATCTGGGAAACAAAAGACGGCCACCAGGTATACGCACGCGGATGTTTACCCCCGACCCGCGCGTTTCTACCCCGTGTATAATAAAGTCGTGGCACATATTGCCCCGTCGTTCGTGTCCTCTTCCTTTGTGCGTGCGTATCGAGCCA